ANNGCTTACAGTTTATATATACAATCTAATATTAGATTTATCTCTTAGCATTCAAAGCAAGCAAGACAAGATAGTTACTCCTGTTTTGGCTTCTCTTTGTCATTGATGCAAGGTAGATGGGCTAACATGGAAAAATAGTTTAATTCTTTTCATTGGGCAATAAACTTTGGTCCTGTTTGCCACAGATTGTACACCTGAAGGATCCTTCAAGAGCTGGATTGGAAAGTGTGTAGTATGTTATCCTGGCAAATTTACCTCGTTGTACACCACAGAGCATGGAAGTTTTTCAAGGCTATGAAACATTGAGGATGAGCAATAAAATTCTGTTGTATTTTTCAGATATGGGTTGACATGAATGAAATGGTTTTTACTGTGAACATATATCTGGTTGTCAAGATAGCTTCGTCCAGGTCAACTAGCTGGTTTTTGTATTCAGGTATTGTTTTATTTAAATACTCATGTTTCTTTCTTGTTTCATAACAGAGACTATTACATCTGATATTTTAGTCTAAAAGTCAGTTTACAGAGCATGTTTTAAGAATGAAGGCATATATAATGTAATGGGTGGGTTAATTATGTTGAAGAAACACATTCAAATTTTGCATAAAAATGTATCCAATTATTATTGTTCAATAAATCTGTGTAAAGCTATAAGTAAAGATTTGTATTATTATTTTTCAGTCAATCTTACACTGAGTGTTACAGCTAAAGTTATAGAGACAATAGATATAAAGATAGATGATACAGAGAGACTTGTAGTTATATTCTGATGAAAGAAAGAGAATGATTGGATCGTATTGATAACGCGTCATGACATTTAAGATCGTTTTGAGTACGAAACAAGTGAAATAATGATGAAAATTTTTTTCGACATTTCTATCAAGGTTACAGTGACAAAAGAAAGTATGTGCCCTGTTTAAAGTACATTGAAATCATAATGTAGGAGGATTTGTCTGCTGCCCTGATTGTGTGGAATCATAATGCAGCAATAATGTTAGATTAGAATGGTCTCAAGTTACATTGGCTGTGTCTTTGACTGTTATAATTGTGAGAATGTTACTAATGTAATAAATTGTTTTATCTAACCAATTCTTATTTTCTGGTTGAACTTCTGCATGTTGCATGTTGAGGCCACAACACTTTTTCATTTGATTTGATCACGCTTGTTTTTTTGGCTTTGCTGACTGCAGTTTGGTAAATTGACCCAACTTTTTTTTAAAATGAGGTGTTGTAAATTTTGTATGGGGCGATACACCGATAGCATCATTTGATTGCTAAAACCACACAAGTCAGACTAAAAATTGGAGTGGAGCAAATAGATGCTTTCAGTGTAACACAAGTTGCAAAACCACAAAACAATTCCTTAGGAGGATTTTGGCGTAAATGTTAGATCTGAATGAAGAGTTGTATGATTTTGGCGGGGCTTTTTGGCTGGAGCCCTCAAATTCTGGTTGCCAGATTAGTGGTAGACCTGAGCGAGATGAGTATTGCAAGGCTTGGAACGAACTTCGAAATCACATACAATTTGCCAGCAAACAGATGTACACCCACACAATGGAACAATTGATGGAAACTGTCACTGTCATAATCACTCTTCAATATGAATATTCCAATTCAGCTTAGCATACACAAATCATACATTAATACATAACTTGACATTAACCAAGGCCTACATATATATGTGAGCAAAGATATTTTTGCCGTGTCTGGTTACAAAATACACACGACTTTTCTATTTGTTTTAGAAACTATAGAAGTCAAATCGGACTGTTTGTTTTTGAACAATGGTGTATTTAACGATGCATTGTGCCATGACCCCTCGAGTTATAAATGAAAAATATATGTTACTTTCTCTTCCAAAGTAGCTTTAGATGTATTCTCCAGCTTCCTAC